GCCACCTTTATGTTTTTTTTTATTTTTTTTTTTAATTTCTCAATAGCAGATGTCCCTTGGCTGGAAACAACTTTCTTTACTGTGTCTAGAGAATACTTTATACACATAATAACTTATTATTTCTAAGAATCTTGTGAAGCAGACACAGCAGGTACTATTCATACCCTGTTTTCCACAAGAAGGAGCTAAAACTCAGTTTAAGTGCTCATGAGCACGTAACTGAAGACAGGAACTACCACTAGAATACTAGTTCTTTGATTACTTACCCAGTGTTGCTCACCCCCCACTATGTTACTATAATAATCTAGAATAGTATCTTTCTACCTTCTTGGTAAAATTTCCAGTCACCCCACAAAGATGTTTTTTCAAAAGGCTCCTGTATTTTAGCAGGCATTCATGCTAGCCTACCCATGTGGTTGGCTGTGTCTAATGTGAAGACAACCTTAGTTTCTGTGGATGTGGGACAGTGGCCCTCCATTGCTAATAAGTGGTGGGAAGAGGTGTGGATTCTTTTTCACTCCAGGGAAGTGACTCATTTGCAGAGTAAAAAGATGGAAATTTTTATAAATGATTTATACTTGACCTATCCTTGTAAAATTGGTCCAAGAGAATTTCAATAAATCCTGGAGACATAAACATCCTTCAGGCTAGGAAGTTATTCACAATGACTCTAATCATATGGAAACTGAATTCTGAAATATGTTTATCACTCCATTTTGTACCAAGTTCCTAAAAGCCAGCCCTGGAAGAAAGAGAACCTGCTGGCTGTCAATTGCTGCATCAGCCCATGGGATTCCCCAACATGTCACTGCATCACAGGTGTAGTGAAAATAAGGCCTATCTTGTGTGCCTTGAGGCACACACAAAAAAAAGCTCTTAGGGTTCCCCAATTAAAAGTGCTATAAATGTCCCACTCTGACGCTGGGAAAGGTAACAGAAACTGTGATACAGATCTGTGGTTTGCATGCATCATCATATCACGATGCCACATAGGCAATTACTATGTCCTAAATATTTAGCTCTAGCTCAAATTTGCTAGAAAAGGTGACAGCAATGAGTTTTAACATATCCAGAAGCAGTTTGATTTTTAAATAAACTCTGCCATGTTAAAAGGAGAAATTAAATGGCCAGTTCACAAGGTCATCTGACAAGTGATGTGTGGGGACTGTACAATGGTCACTAATAAGACCTGGTCAGATTTAGGTAGGAGGGTGAAGGACATTTGAAATGAGGATATTCTTTGAAGTGTATTATACTCCAACCATACTGAACTTCTTTCATTTCCTTAAGTGAGCTTTCTCATCTCCAGACTACCTCACATTTGCTTTTTTCCAATCCAGAGAAGAAGTAATGTTCTCCCTCTCCACTTAACTTATACTAAACTGTCAGGTCTATGCTTATACGTCACTCCCACTAGGAATTTCAGGAGGATTCCTATTATTAGTTATTCATGTTGTATATTCCCAGAGTAATCTTCATTTTCTCTAATCAGAGCCCTTTCTAAAAGTATGGTTAGTGTTAGATAAATGGTTTTTCTGCTAGCCCTGAGGTCAGTTCAGGGAATATGTCTGACACACTTTTGCAACCCCAGTACCAATTCACAACTGACAGGGAGTGGTACACAATGGGCAAACAATGAATAATTTTAAGTGCTCAGGGAAAAAATAAAATAAAATATTTTTAGAGGCAGAATGAATTGAAAGTCCAAATGTTAGCATTCAAAATTATTGTTGGACTTTGTCTTAAGCTCAGGGTTATAGACCTTAACCTTACCTTCTTCTTCCTTTTCAGTTCTTAGTGCTGAATTTCATGTTAAAGTTTAAGAATACACACATTGATTAAATTCTCTGAGAGTTATAGAAATTCATAACTTGTCTTGAGGTGGTGGGGTGAGAAAGAAATTAATCTGCACATAACATATAGAAACTTCATTTATATCAAAAAACAATTTTATTTCATTGTTTAAATGCATGGATAGAAAACCATAATTGTGGAAAGTAGGATATTGTCTCAAAAAACAAAGATCATCTCATTTTAAACTCTGATTATATGCTTTTCACAAACATCACACCTTAAATATAAGGAAAAGTATAAATCTGAACATAAAAGGATGCATACACTAATCAAAGAAATTGGAAAGGGTCAAAATAATAAAAGACGAAGTAAAATTTAATCTAATAACAAAAGTTGTTATTAGAGATCAAAAAGGACTTACAATGATAAAACATCAATTAGACAGAAAAATATATCATCCAGAAGTTATATGAACTAATAACATATCTTCAAAATCCATAAAGCAAAGGTTGAAAATGAAACATATTGTTGTACATGGAACACTTAGCAAAATAGACAATATGCTAGGCCAAAATTATGTATAAATATATTACAAACAACAGAAAATCATGCAGAGTATGTTCTCTGAATGTACTGGTATTAGATTAGAAATCAAAGACAATTGTTTGAAAATTAATATACAACACGTCTAAGTATCCCATGAGTCAAAAGACAGATGAAATAGAAATATTTTTCAGTTAGCAATTATGAAAATATGGTATTTCCAAACCTATGTGCTACACCTAAAGTAGATGGTCTACAATTAATAAAGCTTGAAAGATAAATATCTAAAAATTTAAAAGGAAGAAATAAAATTGGCATTATTCACAGATAACAGTAATGTATAAGTTGAAAATCCAAAAGAATCTACAAACTATTAAAATTAATAAAGAAATTCAGTAAATTTACTGGATTTACAAAAATCAATTGTATCTTGATATGAATGCAAACAAATTGGAAAATAAAATCTACAAATAATGACACTAAAACATCAACTATCAAGAAATACAGTTAAAAAAAGATATATAGTAATCCCTCTTTAGCCTCACGGGATACATTCCAAGCAACCTCCCTGCCACCCCACTATGAATGCCTGAAACTGTGGATAGTACAAACTCCCTGTATACTGTTTTTTTCCTATACACGCATACCTATGATAAAATTTAATTTCTATATTAGACACAGTAAGAAATGAAATAACTAATAATAAAATAGAACAACTATAACAATATACTGTGATAAAGGTTAAGTGAATGTGCTCTCTCTCTCAAAGTATCTTGTATTGTACTCACACTCCTTCTTGTGGTGATATGAGATGATAAAATGCCCAGGTGATGAGATGAAGTGAGTGAACGACACAGGCTTTGTGAGGTAGTAGTGTTAGGTTACTATTGACCTTCTGAAAATATGTCAGAAGGAGGATCATCTGCTTCTGTATAAAGTCTGACCACGAGTCACTGAAACTGCAGGGATGGGGGTGGGGGTGGGGAATACTATAAAAGATTTCATACTGAAAACTACAATACACTCCTGAGAGAATTAAAGATAATCTAAATAACATTAGTTTTGGATTAGATTCATGGGATATTAATGGGTGGGAAGGTTCAACATTATCATATCATCTCTCCCTTAGTTAGTCTATAAAATCATTATAGTGCCAATAAAAATTTCAGTAGTTTTGTGTATGTGTGTATGTAAATTGACAAACTGATTATAAAATATATGATACATCTCGAAGCTACAGAAATTAAGATAGACATATTATACAATCGACATTATATAACAAAGCCTAATAGACCAACAGAACACTATAGAAATCAAGCTACACACATAAGGCTGCTTGATTTACATTAGGGGCACCACTGCCATTCAGTGAGGAGATGATAAGTTATCCGGGGACTACATAGCTTGTAGTATATTCGGATAAGGAAATATCACATGGCAATGTAAAAGGGTAGAATTCTGCTGTTTTATAACAACATGAATGAATTTCATGGATTATCTACATGAAGGCCAAAAACAGGCAGCACTTATCTATGGTAAAAGAAGTCAAATATTGGCTACCTTGTGGAGTTTATTGATTGGAAAGGACATAAGCAACTCTTCTGGGTTACTTTTAGTGCTGTGCATTTTTATCTGGATGATGGTTTCATGAGCAGAATACATAGGTTCATCCATCAAGCTGAACAACTAAGATTTATGCACTTTATATATGTTATACCTCAATTAAAAAAAAAAAGTCCAAAAGAAAGAGCAGCTTACAAAGAAAAGTTCTTGAGAAGGAACCAATTGCAAGAAAACAAGAAACAGAAACAGAGAAATCTGAAAATTGAGAAGAGTTTTAAGAAGAGAATGACCAGTGGAGGTGGGGGAGATTGGGGTGGGGTGTTGATGGGGGGGGGGTTGTGGTGGTTACTGAAGGGTCCTTTGAATTCAGCACCAAAAGAGGCCCCTGAGGAGGCTTTTTTTGTGAATTGGAAAAGCTGAGTCCAGTTTTTAATGATCTGAGTTATGAATAGAGCACAAGAAAACACTAGAAAACAACTGTAGTATGTTAATCCTTGCTCTCCATGCAGGGACAGAGAAAGGATGGTAGCTAGAGAAGGATGAAGGGTAAGAGAACAAGTGCTTCATTTTAAGTAATAATAAGACTCTGGATTGTTCCTTAATATTCATAAAAACTATTTCCAGTCCAAAAACCTAACTAGATCTCAAGTCGAATTCAGCAAAGAAATCCCTGCTTTTTCAATCAGAAAAGAAGGTGTATACTTCCAATTAAGTTTGGAAAAATACGTACTAAAATTTGAAGTTACTCTTTACTATAAACTAACCACCTATTGGTTTAAGCATAGCAAAGAGAAAGTTTACAGAATGCTTTACCCTGGCAACACATATCAAAATATAGCCTTCAATTCAATAATTCTTTTATTAGTAGTAAGGGTAGAACATCCATAGGCAGATCATTGCTAAGTGGTAACCTCGTTTTTTATCGTTCCATGGAAGTTCTGTTTTGTTACACATGTTTTGGCATTTTTTTCCCCTCCAAGTATCTCTGGTTCTGGATTTGTCATAGACTTTTACTTTATTAGTCAATGCTACCAATACTCATGCACAGAAGTATATCTCCCTCCCTCCCAGAAAGGACATATAAACAGTAAGTGACTTACTATAATGTGCTGATAAGGATCTATAAATGACATTTTGGTTTTAATTACAGGAAATCTCTTCACACTTCAAAGGTCTTCTCTGGCACTCAAGCTTCTTTAAAACCTACAAAATAAACAATCACTATTGTTAAGCTTCCTCTTGGATGCAGTTCTAAGATTTAAATTATGATAAATATGAATCTTAGGAAGTAAAAGTCCACCCAAGGGAACCAGATAGACTGAGTTCCCAATTGTTTACATGACCGAGTATACACACATAACTTAGGGAAAGGGTAAACATATTTTGATAGTACAGCTAAATTTCCATATTTATTTGTTCAAATTTATTCTGTTAGTAGTTATTAGGAAACTCCAGATTTTTTTTTGCATTGGCCAAGTATTTCATGAGACATTCCTTGAACTTACAAAAAAATTAAAATTATTTTTGTACTGTTTCTCATTAAAAAGCCACATGTCATTGTTTTCTCAATTGGGCCAGTGTTACACAAATTCATAAGAAAGGAACATTTTTTTACCTTAGCTATTTGTTAAGAACTTACATTCTTGTTGAATTTCCACTTCAGCACTGATATATTTTAAAAAGTTTACTCATTCTAAAATACCAGTTTAATCTGGAAGCAGTTAAAAAGGAATGAAAAATATGAAAAAATAATGAAGAAATACTTTATATACTTTGCTTTCTTCTACAATTATTCTATAGTATTTAAAATTTAAAAAAATATTCAATAAACATTTTGTTCTTCCATCATAGATATTTTCCCCCCAACATATACCTATATGTTAGTATTCTATATGTGTCACATCTAATTTGGAACATCTTTTCAAATGTCTTTGTTGTTTATGATAAATACATAAATTCTAAAACATTTTTATTTCAGAATAAAATGTATTAAAAAAATGTCAAATGTTTCTTTTCTTTTTAAACATCACATTTCTAAAGTTATACAAAATAACTCATGGTTAATTTTACAAATATGAACTATGGAAACAAATCAAGAATAAAGTATAATCACGATTTTATTTTGATGTGTAGCTTTCCAGACTATCCAACGCATATTCATATATTTAAAGTAAAAAGGAAAAGGATTTGAATTTTGCTTTTACACAAATGCGATCTCATGAAGTGCCTTTGAATTTTTAAATTCACTTCATCATTTTTAAGCAAAAAGAATAGCATCTATTTATTTATTCCTGCCTTTATTTTTAAAGGCTTAATATTTTTTAGAGCAATTTTAAATTCACAGCAAAATTGAGAGGAAGGTACAGAGATCTCCCCATATACTCTCTGCCCCCCAGCCCCACATGCAGTGTCTCTCTCCTTACCAACATCCCCTACTATAGTGGGACATTTGTTACAACTGATAAACCTGCACTAACACATCATCATCACCCAGAGACCATAGTTTATCTTAGAGTTCACTCTTCCTGTTCTACATTCTATGGGTTTTGACAAATATATAATGACATGTATCCATTATTATGGTATCATGAGTATTTTCACACCGTAAAAAATCTTTGTCTATTCTTTCCTCCTTATCTTTCAACCCCTGGCAATCACCTATCTTTCTACTTGTCTCCATTGTTTTGCTTTTTTCAGAATGTCACATAGTGGCAATCACATAGTATGTGATTTTTCACATTGGCTTTTTTCAGATTGGGTTCTTTCACTTAGTAATATGTATTTAATACATTTTCTCCGTGTCTTTTCATGGCTTGATAACTCTTTTTTTTTTTTTTAGATCTGCATAATGTTACATGGTCTGGATGTACCACAGTTTATCCATTCATCTACTGAAGAACATCTTGGATGTTTCCAAATTTTAGCAATTGTGAATGAAGCTGCTATATACATCTATGTACAACTTTTTCTGTGGACATAAGATTGATTTCATTTCCTTTGGGTAAATATCAAGGGCCAAATATATTCTTCTATATGCTGAATCAAATAGAAGAATATGTTTCATTTTATAAGAAACCACCAAACCATCTTTCAGGGTGTCTGTACCATTTTGCATTCCCACCAGCACTACTCAGCAGTTCTGTTGCTCACATCCTCACCTACAGTGTATGTTGTCAGCAGTCTAGATTTTGGCCATTCTAATAGGTATACAGTGGAATCTCACTGTTGTTTTAATTTGCATTTCCCTGATGACATATGATGTGATCTCCTTTTCATATGTTTATTTGCCACCTATCTATCTTCTTTGGTTAAGTGTCTGTTAAGGTCTTTTGACCATTTTAAAAATCAGGCTGTTTGTCTTCTGTTAAATATTAAGAGTTCTGTATATTTTGGATAATAGTCCTTTTTCACATGTGTCTTTTACATATTTTCTACCACTCTGGCTTCATTATTTGTAATATGAAAACCATGAAGCTATATTATAAGAAAGATAAAAATCATTCATAGTTCCCTATTTAAAAATTGTATAAAATGAAAATCTCCTTTCTTCCTTGTTCTGGTTCATCAAGAATCATTAATTTTACTAGAAAAAATATTTTTTAAATAAAACATTTCTTTTAATCACTTACTTTGTAATTACTAAAAGTTGATTTCTATCTTCTTATAATGTACTGTTTCATCTTGATGAAAATGTACATTTCCCCTATATTACCACCCTTTAGAAGTGAAGCAATTTCTTAACAGAATTCTTCTTTCAAGTACATGATAGGCCATATGAAGCTCCTAGACCCAAGAGCAGGAAGCCTTTATGTTGCTGCATCACTGGGGATTCCTAAGAATTCCCTTTCCAGAAGCTGAAAAGTCCATATGCTTGTACAGTAATGCCAAGATACTATCAGGGATACAATGCCTGAGGGAAAATCATATTATTTTCTTCATCAAAGCAGCATAATTTGGTCAAAATACCACTGGATATGGGATTAGAAAGACCTCAATTCAAACTTCAGTTTCACATTTTAAGATCCAGTGTATTCCACCATAAATGGGAATAGTATTATGAACGTATTGTATGTTGTAGTGAGGACTAATGAATTAATTATGGTGAAAGGTACCTGTAACATAGTAAATACTCAATGCATGCAAGCCTTCCTTCTTTAAAAATTTTTTTAAGTTATGTTTTAATTTCAGTTGGTTAACATGCAGTGTTATATTAGTTTCAAGTTTACAACAAAGTGATTTGGCAATTCCATACATCACCAGGTCCTCATCACCACAAGTCTACACCTTAATCTCCATCACCTATTTCACCCATCCACTACCCCACCTCCCCTTTGGGGACCAACAGTTTGTTTTCTATAGTTAAGTCTGTTTTTGGGATTGTCTTTCTCTCCCTCTTTCTCCCCTTTACTCGTTTGTTTTATTTCTCAAATTCCACATATGAGTGAAATCATACGGTATTTGTCTCTGACTTATTTAGCTTAGCATTATACCCTCTAGCTCCATCCATGTAATTGCAAATGATTTCATCCTTTTTCATAGCTGAATATTCCATTGTATATACACACACACACACACACCACCTTCTTTATCCATTCAAAAATTGATGGACACATGGGTTGCTTCCATATCTTGGCTATTGTAAATGCAATAAACATGGGGGCACATGCATCCCTTCTCAGGGTGTGAGATGAAGCCCCACAGTGAGCTCTGCTCTAGGTATGGAGCCTTCTTAAGATTCTCTCTCTCCCTGTCTCTCTGCCTCTTCCCTGAGATCACGACTTGAGCCAAAATCTAAAGTCAGATGCTTAACCAATTGAGCCACTCACGCACCCTGAGTTCTTTATGTATTTTGGATACTTACCCTTTATAGGATATGTCATTTGCAAATTTCTTCTCCCATTCTGTAGGGTGCCTTTAGTTTTGTTGATTGTTTGCTGAGCTATGTACAAGCTTTTTATTTTGATGAAATCCCAATAGTTTTTGCTTTTGTTTCCCTTGCCTCAGGAGACTTATCTAGAAAGAAGTTGCTATGGCCAAGGTCAAAGAGGTTATTGCATGTGTTCTTCTCTGGGATTTTTATGGTTTCAGGTCTCACATTTAGGCCCTTAATCCATTTTGAATTTATTTTTGTGTCTGGTGTAAGAAAGTGATCCAGTTTTCCCAGCACCATTTACTATCCTTTTCCCATGGGATGCTCCTTCCTGTGAGTTTTTCATATATGGCCTTTATTATGTTGTGGTATGTTCCCTCTAAACCTACTTTGTTGAGGGTTTTTATCACGAATGGATTTTGTACTTTGTCAAATACTTTTTCTGTAGCTATTGAAATGATCACATGATTCTTATCCTTTCCTTATTGATGTGATGTATCACACTGATTGATTTGAGAATATTGAACCACCTTGCAACCCAGGAATGAATTCCACTTGATGGTGGTAATTTTTTTTTTAATTTTTTTTTTTATTTATTTATGACAGTCACAGAGAGAGAGAGAGAGAGGCAGAGACACAGGCAGAGGGAGAAGCAGGCTCCATGCACCGGGAGCCCGATGTGGGACCCGATCCCGGGTCTCCAGGATCGCGCCCCGGGCCAAAGACCGGCGCCAAACCACTGCGCCACCCAGGGATCCCGGTGGTAATTTTTTTAATGTAATGTTGGATTCGGTCTGCTAGTATTTTGTTGAGGATTTTTGTATTTTTGCTCCATGGGGATATTGCCCTGTACTAAAAAAGTTGTATCTGGTTTTGCTATTAGGATAATGTTGGCAGGATAATGTTTGGAAGTTTTCCTTCCTCTTCTATTTTTTGGAATAGTTTGAAAATAAGTATTAATTCTTTAAAAGTTAGGTGAAATTTTTGGTAAAATTTGCCTGTGAAGCCATCTGATCCTAGACTTTTGTTTGTTGGGAGTTTTCCGATTACTGATTAAGTTTCCTTGCTGGCTATCAGTCTTTTCAAATTTTCTGTTTCTTCCTGGTTCAGTTTTGGTCATTTATGTTTCTAGGTATTCATCCATTTCTTTTAGGTTGTCCTAAAATATGTTACAATATTATGAAAAACTATATGCTAATTGTTTATAATTCTGTGGTGCTGGTTATTTCTCCTCTCTTATTTGTGTTTTTTGGTTTATTTGGGGTCCCTTCTCTTTTCTCCTGAGTCTGACTAGAGGTTTATCAATTTTATTGATTTTTTTCAGAGAACCATCTCCTGGTTTCATTGATCTGTTCTATTGCTTTCTTAGTTTCTGTATCATTGATTTCTGCTCTAATCTTTATTATGTACTTCCTTCTGTTAGCTTTAGATTTGGTTTGTTGTTCTTTTTTCTAGTTTTTTAGGTACAAGGTTAGGTTGTTTGAGATTTTTCTTGCTTCTTGAGGTAGGCCCGAATTGCTATAAACTTCTCTCTTAGAACCACTCTTGCTGCATCCCAAAAGTTTTGAAACATTGTGCTTTTATTTACATTTGTTTCCATGTACTTTTTTATTTCTTCTTTTATTTCCTGGTTGACCCATTCATTGTTTAATAGCATGTTATTTAACTTCCATGTATTTGTGGTCTTTTCAGATTTTTTTCTTGTGGTTGACATCTAGTATCATAGTGTTGTGGTCAGAAAGGATACATGTAGGATAAGCATAAAGTAACCTAGAGGTGGCAATAACTACAGCCTAGCCTGGTACTTCACACTCACATGTTGCAAAAGCAACAACACTATAATTAATGTCGAGAGTTGGAAAGGAATTTTGAAACTCACTCCTCTACAAAAATATTTCCAGTGGTTTCTTATTCCTTTATTCTAAAATTAGAAATCTTTCTATCTATTTCATATCTATTGTGTGGCTTTCATACCTATTTATGCCATCCAAAGTAAGAAAACCTTTTCATATCACAACACACACACACACATAAACAAAATAATGAAACAAATTTGATTTGACAGTTTTACAAAGAACAGTATATCCTAAGAGTATATCCAGTTCTATTCATGTGTTTATCTATTCTATTTCTATTATATCTATCTATTCTATTTCATGTGTTTAAATCTGATAGTAGCTCACTAAATTCATTTCATGGCCCGCCAATGGAAGTTTGAAATTAATGGTCTCATGACTTCAAGATGATTTCTATCAACTCCCTCAGTCTTATCCCTCCATCCTTCCCTTTTCTTTCTATGTTATGGCCATACTGTTTTCTTTCTTCAGTGGTGCCATACTCTTGCTCACTCACGGCTGTAACCTACCACTTCTCTCCATCCATTTATTCAACAAATATTTAAGGCATAACTCCTATGTATCAAGAACTATTCCAGTGTCTGGAGAGGCAAAAGTGAAATAAGTTAGATACATTCCCTTTCCTCATTTCTAGAGGGCAGTCAGACAACAAGTAATCTGAGAAATAAAGAAAACAATTAGAAACAGAGATATATAAAATGAGAGAAGTGAGCAAAAAAGCAGAACTACAGAGTAATCTGAGGTCTGGGCTCTGGAAAATAGCTAGCTTTGGAGGGACAGGAGGGAGTGGGTTCAGAATATAGTGTTCTAGGCAGGTTGTTTGAAAAACTGAGAGATGAGGGACTCATGAATGTTGAGGTTGGAAATAGAGGGGAGGTCCAGTCACCCATTCTTCAGGACTCAGCTTAAGTGTCATTTCCACAGAGAAACCTTCCATGATCTTCAAAGTATGTCTGGTCTGCCTATTACTGATTCCATTTGCACTTTGCACTCCCCCTCAAGCCTTTCACTCAACTTACATAAGGTCTGCCTTTCCTGAGAGAACTAAGGGATGCATAAAGTCAGGGATCACATTTGTCTTATTCATAGAGTTATCCCTAATGCCCAGAGCCTAAAATGTAGTAGGTTCAAAATAAATATTGTTGGATGGATGAATGGATGAATATTACACACGGTCAGGTTTCTGTATGAAGGAAATTTACAAAATAGTACTGGCACTCTCTTTTGAGGTCTCTCTCTTTCATTCCTAATGTCCAAGGATGTTAAATCTCTCTCTCTCTCTCTCTCTCTCTCTCTCTCTCTCTTCAAAAAGCAGAACTGATATATTTCAGAAGAGATGAGACTAGTACTCAAAATGTTTAGAGGAAATGCGTTGCTAGCACCCAAAGTTTGGTGTCAGCAGCTTTATTTCCTCTTCTTATTTCCAGCAACTCCATTCATAATCACTGCGCTCACCACCTACCTATTCACCACCACGGTTACTACCGTATCCTGCAGGAAGACCTGAACAGAGACAGCCCAAATATTAAAGCTAAAAGCAGGAGATATGTTTATGATAGCTAACTGTCCATGTCTATTGGGTTAGAAATGAAAAAGTAAATAGATAGGGACGCCTGGGTGGCTCAGTGGTTGAGCGTCTGCCTTTGGCTCAGGGCATCATCTCGGAGTTAGTTCTGGGATCGAGTCCCACGTCGGGCTCCCTGCGAGGAGCCTGCGTCTCCCTCTGCCGATGCCTCTGCCTTCTCTCTCATGAATAAATAAATAAAATCTTAAAAAAATAAAATAAAGGGTAGATAGTAAACATATATAATTCATGGCATTTAATCCTAGAGAAACATTCTTTTGCTCTTTAAATCCACTCAGGGCTATGTCTTCTCATACTTTGGTGAAACCTTGGTCAGCCTCAGAATGTTTCTAAAAAACTGGAGATATATATACATATATACACACACATATATATTTATATATATATTTAATTTATATATATACATATATTTAATCTCTAATTTCTAATATATATAATTTCTAAATATGCCTATTTAGAAATTAAAATGCTAGGCCCATGTATTCATCCAAAATTAAACTTGATTTAGAGTTGAAATTTTTCTCCTCTGCAACTATAGCAGGGAAAGATAAGGTCATTGGCTTTTCTCTGCCTCTGTCTACAGCCTAACCCTTCTAACTCATGAACTCTGGTTTTTAACACCTCCTAGCTGGAGAAGGCTGGCAAAGATACAGGAGCAAGAAAGTTACTACTTCACTATACTATCATAAGCAGGTTTTGTGAACCCTGGGCCTGGTATATATTAAAGCTGATTCTTTTTCTCATAAATAGATGCTTTTGCGTCTTCTAAGACACTCTACTTTTGAGATCTCTTCCTTTTATTTTCTGGAATGTAGCAATGCATCTCTATTATAGCTGGAGGCTTATACTTTCTTCTAAGCCCCCATGCACCCTGTGGTCTATGTCCACAGGTCTTCTGTGGTTCTTTCACCCTACCAGGCAAAACCTCTGTATAGGATTTAAGATCCTTTCACTCAGTTCTCTTCAGTCTGCAGAGAATACTCAACAGAGAGAGTACAACTGCTTCCCAAATGAAACTCTCCATTCAGCTACTTGTGCCCTTTATGTTTCTCAGGCCCAACTAGACACCAGCCTATGTAGGACATGCATATTAAACTCTCTGATAGACTCTGAGTAGTCTCTTTAAAGGCCCCTTTCTTGATTAGGGGTTAGGAGGTATATTTCTTCCAGATATCCTCACCAAGGAAGGATTCCAAAAGGATTCTACTCCAACCAGTTCTCTCCCAAATGAACAAACAACAACACAAAACCCTCTCAAAGTCCTCCCCACATACCTGCTATTCTGAGCCTTAAGACTGGTGAAGTAGGTGGCATGTAATTTGAGAGTTAAATACTGTTCTTGTCCACCTGCTTTACTCAAAATGTAAAAGGACAGGCTGTATCACAAACTACTTTAGTATTTGATTTCTTAGTTCTTTTATCTTAGAGTCTTGACCAAAGCTTCCACTTTCAAGTTTCACTTTGAAATTTAACATGTAGGTGTGCCAACTTCCAAAATGGCAGAATGAGGAACTTAGGAAATCTTCTTTCTAAAAGGCAGATAAAATTGGTCAGAGTTATAAACATCAATTCTGGAAACTAAAAAAAAATAAATAAATAAAAATAAAAAATTCTGGAAACTAATCAAAGGACATGGAACACCTCAAAAGCACTTATTTTTTTAGAAGTCTGCTAAGGCATATAATTGTGCCTTATAATTATACATTGTAATAGTGATATATTAGGACAGGTGGTAGCCACATGGTGGTGAGCATAGCATATACTATAACATATAGACTTGTTGAATCACTATGTTATATACCTGAGACTAATATAACATTGTGTATCAACCACACTTCAATTTTTTAAAAAAAATCCATTAAATTTCAGTAAGAGCAATGAGAATCTATGATATTTTAGCAAGAAACTGCATCTACCATCCTCCAGTTCTTCAGCATAGAAGTTCTAGCTGGAAAGATAGAGCAGTCCTGTGGTTTACAGCTTTGTTGCCTTTCTGTTTGAGGGTGAAGGAATTAACTGTATTTGGAACAAAGTATAGAAAGTTCCATGCCCAGGAATATTATCGAAAGCAATAGAGAGGGGATCCTTGGGTGGCTCAGTGGTTTACTGCCTGCCTTCGGCCCAGGGCATGATCCTGGGGTCCCGGGATTGAGTCCGGCGTCGGGCTCCTTGCATGGGGCCTGCTTCTCCCTCTGCCTGTGTCTCTGCCTCTCTCTCTCTCTCTCTCTCTGTGTGTGTGTGTGTCTCTCATGAATAAATAAATAAAATCTTAAAAAAAAATAGAGACACAGCAGCAAACAATGTGGGAAGTTTAATACTAGCATCGAGTCCATATTGGTTGGAAGAACTACAAAAACTGCAGACCATTTTAGAAATTTAATAGCAAGATTTGGAGGAGGAGATAAGCAAAGAGCACGGTTGCTAAAGCCCACTTATTCCTAGTCTGGAAGGCTGTGTGTATATGCAATACTATACCCCCTATGAAGAAAGCTCAGAGGACTTAGCAAAATACCCACTAAGAGTGAGGCCTTGCAAATGCAGAAAGTAAAAACCAGGGAGAACTCATAATTTCCTTGTATTTGAAATTCTCCAGGCCACATGCTGATGAAACAGCACAAGGTAGACTTACTTGCTCAAGATGTCTAAGCAAACATTTGCCAATCACTAGCTAACAACAGAAATATGCTGACCCAAGGGCAGCACCTAGGGGAACCAGGCTTCAAAATAAGAATGAAAAGTGAAAACTGTGCTGACACATCAGAGTGTCAGAGTCTGAACACTGTGGGTTAAGACTCCATAGAACAAGCAGAAGAAGCCACTAAGACAAAGAGCAAGAGTAACCCTCCCGGGAGAAGGATGAGATTCTATGGTTGCTACAATACCTAACCTAAAAGTTTCACTGTTCAACAATAGAAACAAAATAAACAAACCCAGGAAAATGTAAGCCAGACACAGGAAGGAAAGGCAACCAATAATAACTATCTCTGCAGGACTCCTGATTATGAACATAACAGACAAATATTTCATAGCATCTGTTACACACATGGTCACAGAACTAAAGAAAACCAGAAAGAATTAGAGGAAAGTATGACACAGTAACATAGCAATAAAGAGGTATAGACAATAGAAAAATAACCAAATGGAAATTCTGGCGTTAAACCATAATTGAAATGAAAAATTTGCTACAGAGGATAACAGCACATTTAAACTTTCACAAAAATCAGTGGATTTATATATGGGAATAGAGATGATTCAATCTGAAGAACAGAAAGAAAAATAAAAAGAATGAAGAAAATTTAACTAAGCCGTAAAGCCTGGGAGACAACATCAAGTATACCAAAAGGTCTGTGTAAATGGAATCTCAGCAGAAAAGAGAGGAAAAAAAGAAAAGAACGAATATTTGAAGAAATAATGTCTAAAGATTCCCCAAATTTGATTAAAACCATGTCAAAAAGCTCAACCAATTTCAAGTGGGATAAATACAAAGAGATTCAAATCTTTTTTTTTTTTTTTAATTTTTTATTCATTTATGATAGTCACACACACAGAGAGAGAGAGAGAGGCGCAGAGACACAGGCAGAGGGAGAAGCAGGCTCCATGCACCGGGAGCCCGACGTGGGATTCGATCCCGGGTCTCCAGGATCGCGCCCTGGGCCAAAGGCAGGCGCCAAACCGCTGCGCCACCCAGGGATCCCCAAAGAGATTCAAATCTATACACATCGTAGTCCATCTGTTGAAAATCCAAGACAAAGTCTTGGAAGTCACAAGAGAAAAAAAAGTTCATCCTGTGTAAGGTAACCACAATAAGATTAAAATCTCACCTCTCGTCAGAACAGAGGCTTGAAGGTAGTGGGAGGACATATTCAAAATGCTGAAAGAACAAAACTATTAACCAAGAATATTATATCCAACAAATTATCCTTCAAGTGAAGGAGAAATAAAGACATTCTCACATCAATAAAGCCTGAAAGAATTTTTTGCCAGGAGAGAAGCATTCACTGGAATAATGAGGAAAGCTTTGGCTGGGAGGAAGTCACACCAAACAGTAACTCAAAGCCATACAAAGAAACCGAGAGCCAATAGATTATATAAAAACAATTTTATAAGATAGCAAAAATATAACTTTCTACTTTCTTCTCTTACAGATTTAGAAGTCAATTGCATTCAAATAATAATTATAAAATTGTATTGTTGGGCTTACTTAAAGATATCATAGATATGAAAATAATAGTCCAAAAGATAGGAAGGATATGGAGCTGTAATGGAGTAAGAATATAATACCAGATGGTATTTGATATAAAATATTCTATATAGTTTTTCTTTTTTTCTCACAGCTTCTTTAAAAGACACTGAAAGCCTAAAACAATCGGTTACAGTACTGTATTATTAGATTTATAACATATACAGACTTAATAGGTATAACAGTAATTGCACAAAGGAGGACTGGAACTACAGTAGAGCAAAGTTTCTGTATTTTACTCAAATTAAGTTATTATTTACATAGAGTAGATTATAGTAAATGAAGGCATATCTAGAAATAATTCCTAGAAAGAAAGCACTGTAAAAATCACTCAAAATATAGTTAACACATCAACAAAGGAACTGAAATGGTCCACTGGAAACTATGTACTGAACACAGGAAAGGAGGAACAACAAAGACGTGAGACATAGAGAAAACTAAAAGCAAAACGGCAGTTGGAAATACAGCCATACCTATAACAGCATTAAATGTGAGTGGATTTAATACTCCAGTCAAAAGGCAGAGATTGTCAGACTGGGTAAAATCTAAAATATACAAAATAACAATGAAATCCAAATAAGATTTGTAGTTTAGTTAATAGACTTATGCTGTTGTCAATTTCCTGATTTTGATAATATCCTAATGATTATGTAAACTGTTACACTGGGGAAATCTAGCTAAAGGGATATGGGAACTCAGTGATATTTCTGCAATTTCTTATCTTAAATTATTTCAAAATTAAAAAGTTACTTAAAAATCCAATACATGCGTATGGGTCTAATTTACATGTGCAATTTCCATTCCAAAGTAAGTTCTGAAGAAGAAAGAAAACAGTCATATGGGAACTGACTAAGGTTTACGTTCTTCAGGGTAAAATTACCGGTCATTATTGTCAAGACAGTGACAGCATTTTCAATTCCAGTTACAAATAGGCATCCTTTTATCCTTTTTCCCCCCCTAGTAGTAGTAGATATTTTAGGTTTTTATGAAATGAAGGCATTCTGTCCAGCTAGCCACATTAAACACTGGGAAAATGTTTTTTTCCCCACAAACTGGCTCAGTCCTGGAAATCTTACTGCAACTAGGTTGCACAACCATTGTCATGAATGCTCATAAGACACGAGTTTGGGGGGTTTTGTGTTTTGTTTTCTTATAACTAAGCTGAATGACCAGCCTTGGTGAGTATATGGTCTTTTAAGTCTGAAGCAAGAGATAGAAAGCTCATGTTTTCTTTAATTTCTTTCTTTACTTTTTTTTTTTGGCTGCCCTGTCATTAGAAACTTTCTGAACACTAATGAGAGGGGAAATTTGGATACGCTTTGTAACATACTTGCCCGTGCAATGTAAGTTTTGGCTTTCCATGAATGCTGAATAGTGTATGGTCTATCCAAAACCCTTTTAGTCATGTTGTCAGAGCAAGACAGGCTTCTCTGGGAAAAGTGAACAAGAACCAGAAACGTAGAGTGGGCTGCTTTGTCAATTCTCCTTCCCTGCATAGAGCGATAGGACAACAGGAAGAGAAGGGGCCGTGGCATCAGGAAGAAAGAAAGATAGGTAAGACAAGGATCCATTCCTCTTTCCTTTTTTTTTTTTTTTTTAGATTTTATATATTTATTCATGAGAGAGACAGAGAGAGGCAAAGACATAGGCAGAGGAAGAAGCAGGCTCCCTATGGGGAGGCCAATGCAGGACTCAATCCCAGGACCCTGAGATCACGACCTGAGCCAAATGCAGATGCTCAACCACTGAACCACCCAGGTGCCCCTCTTTCCTTTCATTTCACTGTATAACAGAACAGATTAGTTTAATAAGGGGCTCAACGCAAAAGCTCCCTGCTGGAGCCAGACCTCAGTTCAAGCTTGTCTCTTCCTTTCTCTGACTGTAGGAGCCTGATCCTCAGTCTCCTTATCTGTAAAATGGAGGAAATGGCCCCCACACATCACAGAGGCAGTGGGATGACAAAATGAAAGAAAATATGTCAATCATCAAGCACAGTACCTAGCCGGTCATAAATACATAAAATTATCATTTGTTGTTATTGTGGTTGCTTATGAAACCGGTGCTTTTCCCCCAGATTGCTCCAATTTCCTGAGATTTATTTGGCTCTTTGGAAATTTCTAAGAAATTCAAGTAGGCAAATTCGTTAAGCACCTCTTTTAAAGACTGTGTACTTTTTCCATACTCAACAATGAGTTGTAATAGAAATGAAGAAATATTCCTGTTTCTGATTTGTTGAGATTTTAAAAATAAAAAAATCCTGGGCCACTGACTTGTCTGCTTCCAAACTCA